AACTTTCCCAGACATAGTTAATCATTGTAGGTGTTGGTGGCACCCACTAATAAAAAAGAGACCCCAAAGCTGGTAGGCATCTTTGGGTACTGGGGATAGTATAAACTTTACCTGGATGTTCTTTTGGTCATAGTCAAAATCATTAACAAAGTTGATAACTTTGAACACAGCCCCTTGCAATGGTATCCTGTACAGTATTGTATTAAGTCTAACTGGTCACATGCTTATCGTATCATTTCTTCCAATTCAGTGGAATAATTGTCATGCCAACTCTTTGGATTAAGAACCATCAACAAGAAAACCACAGCTCTGTAAAAATAGAAATGGAGTATTTTGAGCTGTTCACTTAGCATAACAATGATGAGTCTACAGCTCATTTTCAAGATATAAATACTCTGTTTATGGGAGTAACAGCACCATTCCAGGTGAGTGTTTTGGAGTCTCCACCACATCTGACAGCATAGCGATTCAATAGCACATGGGTTTGTGTGCCAGCTTTGCTTGACTAATAATGGGTTTTTCTCTGTCTATATGGAAAGCTGCACCTGTGCACATGACAAAACCATGGGCCTACACTTTGCTTCACTTTTTTTGAGGTAAATAAGTTGCTTGATCCAAAGCTATATTATGGAAGAATTTCCTCAGTCTGATGAAAGCACTTGGAAAATCCTCAAATAATATTTTATGCAGAAGCGTAACTGAATAGAAAGGCAAATTCATGTATAGAAAAATAGCCATTGCCCTCCTCATGTTACATGAGGTCCGCTAGAATCACCTGACACCAGATGTTAGTCTGAGCCCTGATGTGTGGTACAATGTTAGGGGTTCAGGAGGAGTCATTCTTCTTGGTAAATCAGGTGTTCAGAAGAGCCAGTGTCCCTGTTATGTCTCAGTTAATTGAAACTCATATTGTTGGATTCCCCACAGGGACCTCCATTACGTTGGTTCATGAGACTCACTGAAAAGCTGGGAAAGGTGTCTGACTGAATTCCATGTGTTCAGTGATTTTAAAAGCCCCCTGCTAATTAATGCCATTTTGATTGCTATGCACTTGGAAAGCACTTTTTTTGATTATGGATAGTTTTTGAAATGTCTGTTCATAGATCTTACAGAATGTCTTTGCAATCACCCAGTTGCCCTTCTTTTGATGATCTGTCAAAACCAATAGCCAATATTATTAACTTGCTGTTCTCTTTGTGATGTGATTATCAGATGTAACCCTTGCAGTTTACTCACTGTTATGATTTTTACATTTCCAGGACTTCCTTGACAATGGCACTGATGTGACTCCGTCCATCATCCATTGTTGTGAGAACTCTATTTGGGCTATCATCATTGTGGGCATGAACATAATGGAGACTTTGATAGGATACAAGGGCTAATATTTAACATTAGTCAAAATTTGCTCTAGTCCAACCTGGAGCTCTACTGGGTTCAAAAAATATTTTAGGTAAGAACAACCATTTGATAGAATTTTAACAATAAAGGCTATAATGAAATTTTCTGTAGCAAGAGTATAAGCTATGTGGTCCAGAATACCATTTTTTAATAGAATGTAATAAAAATTATTAAAATGTATTTAATTTATATAATATTTTATAAATATTCATATATTTCATATATAATAGAATAAACATACTTAAATATGAACACTATATATTTGTAGCCAGGAATTTTTTCAAATAAATATGTATTCACTGCTATGTATCATATACATGTATGCCCAGTTTTTCATAAATAAGGTAAATTTTAATTTTTTATTGAAATACTAGTTTTAATTTTGTCTTTAATTTTCTCTTAGTAACTTCATAATTTGATTGCTAAATACTCACATTTGGTAGACGTGTAAATACTGCATCACTAAGCTTTCATGCATTAATGATTGATAACTAGTTAAATACACAACTCAGTGGCTGATAACATAAACATTTGTATTCATGTTCATGAATACTCACGTTCACAATCATGTGGCTGACCAAGAAATGGCTCAGCTGAGTGGTTCCTCTGCAGGGTACTGAGAGGTACTTCAGCCTATATCAATTGTCTAGGAACAAGGCTGAACAGCAGTGACTGCACATGAGACAAGATTCTTGTGGTAGGTCACAGAAGTGAATAATATTCGAAACCAAACTGCACAGTTGAATTTAAGCCCAATACTTTCAACATAGCTTCACACATTTTAAATATATTTCTTTATTTTACTGAGTACAAATTTTCAAGAAAATTTTTACTTCATTTAATTATAGAGGTGTTTGATCATTCCATGGACAAATACTTATGTTTTCAACCTTTACAATCTTGAATATATTTGCATATATAAATTTGCATTAATAAGAACATAAAGCTGGGTGTGTTTTCAGTATGTGGCTTTAAATATAATTTTTTAATAGCCTAATTGGGGGAAAATTATTTTAACTTTTGTAAATATCCCTTTTTGCCTCTTCTGTTTTGTATAGAGTTGCCCAGTAAGAGATCCTCCCATGAGATTTGGTAGCCAGAAAAGGATGACTCAGTATTCTCCATTGGTACCTAGGATAGACACCGGGACAGAGGTGAGGACTGGAGAAACACTTGGAAAGATGCTATAGGAAGCTGAGAGCATCAGTACCCCAACCCCTAAACTTCCAGAAAGGACTGAGGACCACATGGTTGGATACCCATACTTCAGTGGCAGATGCATTCTGTTTTCTGAGGGGGAGCACCAGAGAATCCTGCTTCTAATATCAGCTTTTCTGACTACTATATCCTTGGCTTTGATAGCTTGTCGTGGGAAAGTTAATTGTAAGAATTTGGTCATTCTTGTCATACCCAACGGAGCCAAGATACTGGGAGGAAAGGCACTCGGAGCAAAATACTATTTCTAGAATGCAATTGAAATAGGCCCTATTATCCCATGACACTAATGTTTATGGTTTATTGAATAAACATAGAAATGGACTCCCCCTTAAAGAATCACCACACTGTCTTCCACAATGGTTGAACTAATTTACGCTCCCACCAACAGTGTAAAAGTAGTTCCTATTTCTCCACATCCTCTCCAGCATCTGTCTCCAGATTTTTTTTTTTCTTTTTTTGAGGCAGAGTTTCACTCTTGTTACCCAGGCTGGAGTGCAATGGTGCCATCTCGGCTCACCACAGCCTCCGCCTCCTGGGTTCAGGCAATTCTCCTGCCTCAGCCTCCCAAGTAGCTGGGACTACAGGCATGCACCACCATGTCCAGCTAATTTTTTGTATTTTTAGTAGAGACAGGGTTTCACCATGTTGATCAGGATGGTCTCGATCTCTTGACCTCGTGATCCACCCACCTCAGCCTCCTAAAGTGCTGGAATTACAGGCGTGAGCCACCAAGCCTGGCCGTTTCCATATTTTTTAATGATCGCTATTCTAACTGGCATGAGATGATATCTCAATGTAGTTTTGATTTGCAATTCTCTAATTACCAGTGATGATGAGCATTTTTTCATATGTTTGTTGGCCTCATGCATGTCTTCTTTTGTAAAGTGTCTGTTTATATCCTTTGCCCACTTTTGAAAAATGATGAGTTCATCCTTGTCCTTTGCAGGGACACAGATAAACCTGGAAACCATCATTCTCAGAAAACTGACACAAGAGCAGAAAATCGAACACTGCACGTTCTCACTCATAGGCGGGTGTTGAACAATGAGAACACATGGACACGGGGAGGGGAGCACTACACACTGGGGTGTGTTGGGGGGAAATAGGGAAGGGACAGCAGGGGGTGGGAAGTTGGGGAGAGATAGCATGGGGAGAAATGCCAGATACAGGTGAAGAGGAGGAAGGCAGCAAATCACACTGCCATGTGTGTACCTTGCATAGGTACACATGTGAAGAACAATCTTGCATGTTCTTCACATGTACCCCCAAACCTAAAATGCAATAAAAAAAAAAGAAATGGACTCCCCCAGTCTTAAAACTCAAGATAGTTACATTTGTCTAATCTAAGTTCTTTTTTCAGGAAACCAACCATCAGACCTCCCAGATATTATCAAAGAGCGATACTTAACATATCACTTAATAGGGACAGTGAGACATCAGACCCTTCACCCATTATGATTGCCTAACTGACCTCCTACTTCCTGTTGACCAAATTCTCTTCCTTACCACTCTCTAATTTGTGTTTTCTCTCACATTTCTTCCCTGCTATATAAACCTCTAATTTTAGTTGGCCAGGAAGATACATTTGAGAATGGTGTCCCATCTCCTCAGCTGCAGCACCTGATTAAATCCTGTTCCTTGGCAATACTTACTTTTGTAGTGATTGGTTTTCTGTGTGGTGAGCAGCAGGATCTACACCAAATTCTTGGCATTTCAGTACAAAATTATTTTGAAGTTTCATTGCTTTGACTTTTTGTAACCTTCAACCAAATTTACCCATAACTTCTGAGATAACTTGATATAATTCTAGAATTCACTTTTTTCACCACTGCTTACCAGTGTGCACTTGCCAACTCCCAGTCCTTCTAGTGCCAGTAAACTTTCTCGAAGAACAATAGGTAAAGTTTTCCCTTCGTCATAAAACTCTAGTTTTCTCTTAGTTCTTCCAACATATTGCCAACCACTGAGTTTTCCTCTATTCCCCATTTGGCAAATATTTCTTTGAAAGGAAAACACTAAATTTAGAGATTCATCTCTATATTTTATTTAGACTTCAGTAGTTTAGACTCTAATTCTCTGTGTTAGGACAATTCCTGCTTGGAATATCTATACTGACTTCTCTGTTATATGAATTTTAACTGAAGCCGTAGACTAGACTCTTAGGTGTAATAATCACTGTCTTTATCAAGGCAGGAGAGGCATTGCTATGTCTGTGCTGCTGGGGCTGAGAAAGAGAAAAGAATTAGGGTGCAGAGGTGACTTCATGTCCCCCTCTACCAACACCATCAGAGTGTGGCTGTATCTGAGGAACACTCTGAGGTGATGGAGGCATCAGGAGGAGCAGCTGGGGCAGCCCAGCCTCACACATCTGCTTCCCTGGGGGTTTATGTTCGGGTTTGTAACACTGTGGGAGGGTCACTGTTATGTTGTTGACAGTAGTAAGTTGCAAAGTCTTCAGGCTGCAGGCTGCTGATGGTGAGAGTAAAATCTGTCCCAGATCCACTGCCGCTGAACCTTGATGGGACCCCACTTTGCAATTTGGATGCCTCATAGATTAAGAGCTTAGGGGCTTTCCCTGGTTTTTGCTGATGCCAGGCTAACCACTTGCTAATGCCCTGACTTGCCTGGCAAGTGATGGTGACTTTGTCTCCTACAGATGCAGACAGGGAGGATGGAGACTGGGTCATCTGGATGTCACATCTGGCACCTGAGATTGGAAACATAGAAACAAATGTCCACACATTTAATCATATTGTAAGATAACTTCCCTGAATACCTAGGCAATACTGAGCACACTCGGCTGAGTAAATTCCTAATGTTCTCCTTCCTTACCTGGGAGCCAGAGCAGCAGGAACCCCAGAAGCTGAGCGGGGACCCTCATGTCCATGCTGTGTCCTGACTGGATCTGATTCTGCATGAACTGTGACCAGCCTATTAATAAGTGTTCACGGCAAAAGGATGTGTCCTGGGAACATGCAAATGAGCAGGGGACTGGGCAGGCTGGGCACAGCTGCAGGGCTGGCTCATCTCAGTAACTCAGCACTGGTTCAGTGTCCCCAGATGTCCCAGGGAAGGCTAGGGCAGCACAAATTTGTCTGCAGATAGTAGTATGTTTCTACTGGGGACTATTTTTTCATAAGAAATATTATTTAAGTATTTTTTGATAATTTGAAATATTTCCCTGGAGTTGATGGAGTAATGTATTTCACTGGTATGTGGGGACTATTTAGGAGAATATTCTTGTTTGTAGGAAACAGATAGTAAATATAAGATGGTAGGATTCTCAGGTCTTCAAAAGACTCTCAAATTATTCCAGTTAGGGAAGGGGGTACTTTGTGCTATATTTGCAACATTTCTGTGAGTTTAACATTGTTCGTTTGTAACAAAAATAAAAATAAGGTTTATTGCACTGATGGTACATATATTTGTAAGTATTAGGTAGTGGTGTTATGCCATTGTTCTTAGCCATATAAGATCAAGCAATTTACTACAGATACACAAAGATGATAACGTGTTTTTTTCAATGAGTGCAGCATTCACAGATCCACCATTATTAAGAGCTACAAATCTCTTTAATTCCCAGAGACTAAATGGGTAACCCCTTAGTTTTCTTTGGGTACTTTCATAATCTACCTTCTTTTCTGCCATTGAGTATTATTTCCCAAAGTTTACCTCTCTTAGTGAGGGTGGCCACTGCAGGGATCATCTCTCTGCCACACACCATCAATGATACTTTCTGCTTTTACTTTTTATCAGTGAGTGGGGACATCATCCTGACCAAGACACCAACGTTTCTGTTAACATCTTTAGGTAAGAGACATTCAATCTCTTATTAAGCAATTGTCTTTGTACATGAAGAAATCAGTTGAATCCAAATGAAACTGGACAGGGATTTGCACTCGTTATATCTCACATGTCTAATGTGCCCCAAAATGTCCTAGCCTGGCTCAGTAGCAGGGGAAGTGGATCCTACTACATCAGCATCACTGGGCAACAGCGTAGGGCTCCTCAAAATTTTACTGATGCCTGACTAGGGGAGCCAAATCACAGTGCTGTAGCCTGTGCACAAGCCTTCCTGCTGCTTTGTAAGCAGCCTGTAGTTTAAGGGAACTTGCTTATATTGGGAGAAAGGAAGAAAGTTCCATTTGTCCTCTGAATGTTTGCTGAAAATGAACTGACAACAGAAGATTGATAAGAGAAAAGGCAAAAAAATTCATTTAAATTGCAGTGGTATATCATAGAAGGGTGATTACCTAGATAACTCAGTAAGATCCAGGTGTTCATATTTTCTTTCTAGGGAAGAGGGAATTCGGAAGTGTAGGCATCCTAGAGAGAATAGAGGAGAACAGAAGTGCATCCTCAAAAGAACGGGATAAAGTATCAACGTCCAGTCTCTTCTACTTTTGATTCTCGGTTTTTATTAATCTTTCCTGATATAAAATCTCTCAGGAAGAATTTTCTTGACAATTGGTTTCCTTCTGATAATCTGCTTTTAGGCCAATAAGGGATATTTAGGAAAAATCTTTTTGTGCATTTGCAGCTTTCTAAATGCCTTTGGTTTTACATAATCATCATACCAATGCAGGATAGTTTGAGATGTTGTTTTCTGGATTCCTTAACCTGCAACCCACCTGCCAACATCCTGTTTTAGAGAGATGCAGCTGCAGATTGAAAGTACAGTTAACCCCTGAACAACATGGAGGTTGGGGCACTGAATACTGGTGCAGTTGAAAACCTGTGTAGAACCTTTGCATTCTTAAGTACTAAGAGCTTAATTTGGACTGGAAACCTTAGTGATAAAATAGTTGATTATCACTTATTTTTACGTTACATATGCTATATACTCTATTCTTCCAATAAAGTATGCTAAAGAAAAAAATGTTATTAATACAACCATAAAAACGGTAAAATATGTTTACGACTTATTAAGTGCTTGATCACAGGTGACACACACAGAAGTAAATATATGTAGATCTGCAAATTTCAAACTTGAGTTATTCAAGGGTTGACTATACCATGATGAATGTAGCAGCCTCCATTTGTAGTCTAGGGATTTCCCCTTTGCTGTACCTCTGTTGACTTCCAATGACCATGTATATGCCTTATGATCTTTATAATCTTGGGGCAGAGAGCTCCGCCTGCATGTGTTACTGGCCAGAATGCCTGGAATGTGTATCTCTTAGGAAAGTGCTATGGTTTGACTCTTTCCTGCATAATCCATCTGTTGTAAAGTTAATTCTCAGTGTAATGGTATTACCAGGTGGGGTCTATTGGGATGTGTTTAAGTTATGAGGGTGGCGCCCTCTAGTGGAATACATGAATGCCACTGTAAACAGGGATTATGGGGCTGCGATCTCTCTCTCTCTTCTGTTCATCAGTCAAGACATGTCCTTCCTTCCTTTGAAGGAGTCAATGTTCCAGGCATCATCTTGAAAGCAGAGAAAGCAGACCTTCACTTGCCCATGCCTTGATCTTAAATTTTCCATTATTCATGTGGGCATTTAGTGCTATAAATATCTTTCTAGACACTCCTTTAAATGTGTCCCAGAGATTCTGATATGTTGTGTCTTTGTTCTCATTGGTTTTGATGAATAGCTTTATTTCTACCTTCATTTCATTATTTATCCAGTAGTCATTCAGGAGCAGGTTGTTCACTTTCCATGTAATTGTGTGGTTTTGAGTGAGTTTCTTAATCCTGAGTTCTAGTTTGGTTGCCCTATGGTCTGAGAGACTGGTTGTTATTATTCCTGTTTTTTTTTGTTTTGTTTTGTTTTTGTTTTTGTTTTTTTTGCATTTGCTGAGGAGTGATTTACTTCCAATTATGTGGTTAATTTTAGAATAAGTGTGATGTGGTGCTGAGGAGAATGTATATTCTGTGAATTTGGGGTGGAGAATTCTGTAGATGTCTATTATGTCCTCTTGGTCCAGATCTGAGTTAAAGTCCTAGATATCCTTGTTAATTTTCTGTCTCTTTGATCTGTCTAATATTGACAGTGGAGTTTTAAAGTCTCCCACTACTATTGTGTGGGAGTTTAAGTCTCTTTGTACATCATTAAGAACTTGCTTTAGTATCTGGGTGCTCCCATATTGGGTGCATTTATATTTAGGATAGTTGGCTCTCTTTGTTGCATTGATCCCTGTACCATTATGTATTGCCCTTCTTTATCTCTTTTGATCTTTGTTGGTTTAAAGTCCATTTTATCAGAGACTAGGATTGGAACCCCTGCTTTTTTTTGGCTCTCCATTTGCTTGATAAATCTTCCTCCAACCCTTTATTTTGAGTGTATGTGTGTCTTTGCAGGTGAGATGGGTTTCCTGAATACAGTACACCAATGGATCTTGGCATTTTATCCAATTTGCCAGTCTGTGTCTTTTGATTGGGACATTTAACCATTTACATTTAAGGTTAATATTGTTATGTGTGAATTTAATCCTGCCATTTTGATACTAGCTGGTTGTTTTGCCCATTAGTTGATGCAGTTTCTTCATTGTGTTAATGGTCTTTACCATTTGGTATGTTTTTGCAGTGGCTGGTACTGTTTATTCCTTTCCATGTTTATCACTTCCTTCAGGAGCTCTTGTAAGGAAGGATTGGTGGTGACAAAATCTCTCAGCAATTGCTTGTCCATAAAGGATCTTATTTCTCCTTCATCCCCTATGAAGGTTAGTTTGGCTGGATATGAGATTCTGGGTTGAAAGTTCTTTTCTTTAAGGATGTTGAATATTGGCCCCTGCTCTCGTCTGGCTTTAGAGTTCTTGCCAAGAGATTTGCTGTGAGTCTGATGGGCTTCCCTTTGTGGGTAACCTGACCTTTCTCTCTGGCTGCCCTTAGTATTTTTTCCTTCATTTCAACCCTGGTGAATCTGATGATCGTGTGGCTTACGGTTGCTTCTTGAGGAATATGTTTGTGGTGTTCTCTGTATTTCCTGGATTTGACTGTTGGCCTACCTTGCTAGGTCTGGGAAGTTCTCCCAGATAATGTCCTGAAGAGTGTTTTCCAGCTTAGATTCATTATCTCTGTCACATTCAGGTACACCTATCAAACATAGATTAGGTCTTTTCACATAATCCCATATTTCTTGGAGGCTTTGTTCATTTCTTTTCACTCTTTTTTCTCTAATCTTGCCTTCTCATTTTATTTCATTGAGTTGATCTTCAATCTCTGATATCCTTTCTTCTGCTTGATTGATTTGGTTATTGAAACTTGTGTATACTTTGTGAAGTTCTTGTGCTGTGTTTTTCAGCTCTGTCAAGTTGTTTATATTCTCCTCTAAACTGGTTATTCTAGTTAGCATTTTGCCTAACCTTTTTTCCAGTGTTCTTGATTTCTTTGCATTGTGTTAGAGCATGTTCCTTTAGCTCAGAGAAGTTTGTTAATACCCACCTTCTGAATCCTGTTTCTGGCAATTCATCAAACTCATTCTCCATCCAGTTTTGTTCCCTTGCTGGTAAGGAGTTGTGATCCCTTGGAGGAGGAGAGGCATTCTGGTTTTTGGTTCTTTCATCCTTTTTTCACTGGTTTCTTCCCATCTTTGTGGATTTATCTACCTTTGTTCTTTGAAGTTGGTGACTTTCAGATGGGGTCTCTGAATGGATGTCCTTTCTGTTGATGTTGAAGCTATTTATTTATTTTTTTAAGTTTTCCTTCTTCTAGTCAGATCCCTCTGCTCCTGGATGGCTGGAGGTCCACTCCAGACCCTGCTTTCCTGTAAATCACCTGCAAGGGCTGCCAAACAGCAAGGATTGCTGCCTGTTCCTTCCTCTTGTAGCTTTGTTGCAGAAGGGCACCTGCCAGATGTCAGCCAGAGCTTTCCTGTATGAGATGTCTCTTAGGATACACAGGAACCCATTTGAGGAGGCAGTCTGTCCCTTATCAGAGCTCAACTGCTGTGCTGGGAGTTCCAT